GTGTGTGTGTGTGGTGTGAATGTTTTGTGTTTTTTTTTTTCATGTTTTCCTCATTCAAAATAATGAATGTCATATTACGATGGCATGTACTGAAGCCTTACCCACACAATATATTAAAACGTCATTCTTTTCAGAACATTTTGGTGGGCAATGCATGCTTGTACCTTGAAAACTATCCCTGTGACGCTAAAAGTGCCAACATTTACGAATTCCAAACTGAACTTGAGGCAATAAAGCAAGAAATAGGATCACGACCTGCAAGAGTAAAACCCACTGGACATTAAGGAAAGTTTCATACATTGATAGATTTGAGGGCGCCCATATATCCATTCGTAGGTGTTGAAAAACTACTCGTTTTGCCCGTTTTGATACAACTCTTCAAGAGCAAACATGCCAGGTCGCGATTGGTGCATGCATTTTCTTCTTTAAAAAAATCCCAGTAAGAGTTTTACGGCACTTGCAGCCCAATAAGGTCATATAAGAAGATAAGTGTTACAAGAGAGTAACAAACACAAAAAGGAAGAAAGAGGGATTCATAAGGACGATAGATTTTTGACAGGAATGAAGGGGGAAAACAAAACCAGAGCGCCCGCCAACCATCCACCGGTGCTGCCTGCAATGAAAGTTGTGGTAAACATAACCTGATATCAACTGTCTTAATTAAAGACTTTGTGTTTGTTGGGTTTTTTTTAGTTTTATTAGAGGTTTTACGACGCTCGCAACTGCATAGGGGCATATGAGCGCCAGAAGATTAGATGTGTTCCAAGAGAGTAACATTAACAAACATTAAAAAGAAGAAGGGGTGAAGAGGACGACAGAATTGATGTTTCGTAGGAAAGAAGAAGCAAACCACACCAGAGCACCCTCAACCACCCACAATTAAAGACGCACCGGTACAAACTTAACAAAACCACATCCACTCCGACATTGACTCGCAATAGCGGGGAAATTCCAAGATGGCATAATACGAGTAAGTAACAACTTAGGTTTTAAAAAAGCGCAGCAGAAGAAGCCCTCTTTATCCGCAAGGAAAAGAAGAAAAGAGGACATGTAGAGTTGTAGAGGTTGTGAGTGTGTGTGAGTGTGTGGGTGTGTGGGTGTGTGGGTGTGTGCGCGCGCGCGCGTGTGTGTGTGTG